TTTTCTTTTTGTTTTTTTTGTTTTTTTTTTTGTAAAATTACCAGTCCTTTGAACGTCGTTCGAACAATCGTTCAACCTGAATTAGAAGGGCAAGGGAGGGACGAGAAAGAGACAGAGAATAGAACGAGCTCTGTTTTCGGCGAGAATAGAGGGCCAGTAAAGTTCGGCCTCTTACGAACTTTCTCCGCGCGAAAAAGCGGGCAGAACAATTGCCGATGGATGCGTCTCGAGTTTCCGCAAGTGGATGAGAAAAAAAAAACAAAAGAAAAAAAGGAATGAACAATGAAAGGAGAGGAATCGATGAAAAAAATGTTACGAAATATAGGAAAGGACTGAACTCGATCAGCGATCGAACTGAATTGCTCTTTATGTCATCTAGAAAATATAAACGAAAAATATATAAAACGCAAGAAAAAAATTTAGATACGCGTACTTGTTGTTAAGCGCACGAATTGAATTAAAGAGGAAAAAAATATTTTCACACCTCGTGCAAGGACTACGGAAAGGAGCTGTTTCGTTTTGTTTTTTTTTTTCTTTTTTTTCTGTAACGTACATACATCGTGAATCGCCGAGATTCCTGGGTTCTCTAAAGAGAGATTTGATTTATAAGTTGGCGAGAAATCCTATCGAGATTGGCCCAGTTTCCGCGTCCCAACAAATCATCAAAGGGAAATGGTGTTTTGGAGCACCTGGCTCCTCGAAATCTCCGACGAATGGTAGTTAAAATTTTCCCGGATAGAAATAAACGTTCGCCCCGCTGCTCGCACGCACACAACACCGAATCAAAACCTCTAATTTCCCGCGTAATGGGCGGTCTTTATTATTGCTGGAGGGTGGCAAATCGTCGATCGTCGAAAAAAAAGCATCTCTTCGGGGGGGCGAAACAATTTTCGCAGGGGGCACGTCAGAAGAATCTCGCGTTTCTTTGCTTCTCCATTTTACGAAAAAAACCCAAAGTGTAACGGTTAACGACGATCTTCGATTGGAATCGCAGTATTCGTTCGAATTTCACCATTCACCGAAATCTCCTTCGTCACCCTCCGACAGAAGAATTGATTAACGAATGTTACAGTTGGGAAATGTAGGTCGAAGACTCGATGGAAAAATCGCTCGAATTATACATAACACGAGTGTTTCAACGGTTTCAGCCGTTCCTCTTAACCCGTTTGCATCACGAAACAGAATGTTTCGCGGATAACGATTGATCAAGAATTTTGGTTGTAAGAGTATATCGGTAAATGACATTACCCTTTGTACTCTGATATTTCATTAAAATTTGTTAATACTAATAGAGAATAGTAGATACTTCAGCCAGGACGAATTGTGAATGTTATAATAACTTCGTGACACAGACCTGTTTCACCGTGTAATTTAATTCGCGATGCAAGTGATATAGTGGAATGAACTTTAAACAGAGTTGGTATACAGCTAGAGAAACGCATAAAATATTCTCGCGTAGACGTGGGAAGCAATTAACGGGCAAAGATTGGCTCTGTCCTTTACGATTTTGACGACGTTGTGACTTGTTGCGTGGGGAATACAAAGGCGTCGCGGCGCGGCGGCTGCAAACAGGTTTTCAGGAAAGCCAAGGGCGAGGGATAATACACCTTTGTCAAAGAATGTGTTCGCGCGTGCAAAGAGAGGTGTTCGTCCGGTCACTACCGATGCTGCTTGAGATGTCAGAAGCCGCAGGTGGCCGAATGGTAGCCTGCAATTCACGTATACATCGTATAGACAGGTCGTCGGGTTTGTGAGAGGGTCATGGGGTCAGGAGGCACCGACTCGCCGCTCGTCTCTACCGGGTGCCTTCAAAAAAACCGCACCAATCGACCGTAGAACGACAAGATGGAATGACGATCGTCACGATCACGCATTGTCGGACACTTTCTCGAAAGTTACTCTCAAAGGAACAGGTTTCAACGTGGAAAGACGCGAGCGCATAATTTCACGAACGCAGAAGCTCGTGCGATTAAACCCTACGGGCATAATTTCACCTGTGCAACCAGGAGTTCACACTCAGGTGCACCTTTTCACTGAGTCAACACATGACGAGACAGCGTTAAGGATCTATCACCGGCCTTGACGGGCAAATGGTGCACCATCACGAATCCATTTCCATATAACGTACACACACGCCGGTGTTACCCCTTTGCCCTCGCAGGTTCGTTTCATTCAACGTGAATGAGAAACGCGGAGGGGAACGGCACCTGCGATCCCCGGTCATGCAAATACCTGCACGCGATGAATAAAAAAGGAGGGTTCGCGCTCGGGGAAAAAGGGTTCGACTTATTCAGATTAGGGTCCCGAGCATGGGTATTTGAACACCCTTCCGTGTAGTGGCACTCGAGTCACCTCGATTTTCGGCAAGTGCCTTTATCCTCTGGCGCGCGTGTCATACATAAATATGATCGTCCTCTCTTTTTATCACGAACCCTTTATTCGACCGAAGGAGAATTAAGCACATTATAACAGGTATAACCTCACTTGCTAATCGTATTATTCCCCAACCATCGTGCATAACAAGAAGCAAAAAGAAAAGAAAAGAGGAAAGGTGGAACAGAAAAAAAGAGAAGCATTCGAATTCTCGATGCATACGGCACTCACAATCGGAGAAACGTTCCCATAAAGTTTCGCTAAGGTCTCGACTCCCGGAATCAGAGCGCGTAGATATTATTCGCGCCTCTTTCGTGAATTCGCGTAGGTAGGGGCGTCATTAAAATCAATACCGGCTCGCTCTCCGTCTCGACCCCCTCGTGCCACCACCCTCGCCCTCTCGGTATGCCTCCCTTTCATCTTCGTCCTTCGACGCTATTTATCCTTGTCGCACTTTCCCTCTGCGCGCGCGTGTGTGTGCACGCGGGGGCTGGTGGAGGTGTGCACGCGGCAGTGGCGGAGAAGAAAGGGGATGCAAGGGGATGCTCGCTCGCTCGTTCCTAGTCGAAGACGTGGGAGTCGTGCAACGGTTGGGTGGGGTGGCCGAAGGGGAAGACGGCAGAGAGAACGCGAAAAAAAGGAACGTACGCGAGGAAGAGGGTGCATCGAGGGTGAGGCTCGACGCGGGGGCGGGATGGGGAGAGGAGACGCGATAAGAGAGAAGGGTGCCGCGTTCGCAAGGTTAGGTAGCCGGTACACGCGATAAGGAGTGGGGCTGGCGTTCCCATGGCCAATAAGAACCTCTTTAAAGCGCCCTTTTTGCGCGCGGAACTGCGCATGCCGGATTCAAATCTGGGCGAGCTGCTGGGTATCGAGTGGAGGTGGCGACCGGTGGTGGTGGCCGGTGGCTGTATGGAAATATGATAGCGCGATAAAAAGAGGAAGAATGGCAGGGATGCTTGTGTACCCGAGGGAAAAACGCGGCGCGAGGGCGGGGATACTGCCGCGGCTGCTACGACCAATAAAGGCCCAGTTTAAAGCGACTCATTTTTTCTTTTTTTTTTTTCCATCGGCACTGCGCATGCCGCATTCAAATGCTGGGGAGTGGTGGACTCCGACGTGTGTGCATGGAAATATGATAGGTGAGATTTCGACCTCGAAGGAATGGCGGACCGGGATAGGGCTCCTGAATATTTTTATACTCCCGGGGGGGGTTGCGATAGGATCGGGGATGATACGGAGAATAATGGCGTCTGAGATAGACCGTAGACCGTATTTCTAGATCGCGACGTTAATTTCGCAAAAATTGAACGAGAAGGTGTTTGAAGTTTAATGGAACTCGAAGTTCGAAGTTCGAAATTCGTCGAAGACGTTCGATTCGATAGGTATCTGAACGTTATCGCTGCTGGTGGTGTGGTTAATTCTCGTAACGCGTTAATAATTGTTTGGCGACATTTTCTAATGCAAACATATTCGACACACAATAATGTTATTGTTCGTATATAATTTATAGGTACTCACCGGCTGCTAACTTGAGATTCATCAACCGGATGGCAGCGTTCATCAATCTCGTGGCAGAGAATTCGTTCACCACATTGGTCCTGCAAAACGTCTTTTATCGAAAATTCCGAAATACCGCGCGTTCTGTAATCGACGCCATGACACCGTTTCCCGCCAAACGACCGTTGCAACATTCAAGACTGCCGCGAACGAATACAATAGATAACGTAATAGAGACATTTTGCGGTTACCACTCCAATTAGTCTTTTCAGAATTCGCCATTCTCTACGTTTCTGTTTCGCCTAAATACATATACCTCGCTTTACACTGTAAAAAAGATACTCAACGCGGACAACTTTGTCTAACAACCGTTACAAAGACTCGGTAAACGGAAACTAGAGGGTGGGGGAGTCATTTCCATAATTTCGTAGCGCGCGAGATGCGCGCGCAACTAATTCGCTAGTGTCGAAAAACGCCACCTGTGTGACGTCCATTTGAATTAATCGCGCGGCACAAAAAGGCGCGCTCCGTTCTAACCTAACAATAAGTGCATAGTGGTGATGTGTGATGTTGACGAGAAAACGGGACATTGTAAGGACATCGACGTCAGTTGTTCGCAGTGGATTTATTCGAAAGCCCTAATCGGTAACTCGCGATATCGGGACAGATGGGGCAACGAGCGCCGCGATTGGTCGCTTTTCTCGCATATGCAAATCCGCTCACCTTCTCTCCCTCTAGCCGTGGTTCAGTTGCAGCAGTATAGTAGCCGGTACACGCGAGGTAAAAAGGCGCGTTCGCGCTCGCGACCAGAGAACTCGCCTTTCCTCGCCGGGCGGAGCCGCGCGTGATCCGCGTTCCGTCGCGATTGGAGCATCATTCCCCACCGGCGCTTTTCGCTTCCCCACCAGCGTCGGCGTCCAGGCGTTTGCCCGCTGGTTTTCGCTCCGGTCGAGCCTCTTCGTCGTGCATCCGGCGTTTCCAACCGGCGGTTACCACCGTACCATCTCTTTCCCTCTTTCAGCGACTCCCCCACTTCGCGCTCGACAGTCCGCGTACGCGTTCGCGTTCCCCGTGGCCGGTAGGCGGCCGACCGGGCGTACGTGGGCCCTCTAGTGTAGCTGCACACATGCACGCGACAGCATCTGACCGCCGTACCAGCCGCCGCAGCCGTAGCTACCACCGTCGTAGCTCGTCGCGGATGCTCGTGTGCCTGCGATAACGATACCTCTTGCTTTAGCCAACGATTCCACACCGTGAAATCATCATCACGACAAACGAGAGGAGAAAGGTTCGAGTCGTGCGGTCCCTGCGAAACCTATGACGAAACGCGTGGAACACGGAACCGCGGGAGATACTCGTTCGAATATTCCGCGTTGAAAGTGAGACAGTGATAGTTGTGACAGTTTCCGAGTCGGGATTCGAGGGATTTTCGGAGAGATTTCGGCGATCGAGTATGCCCCGTTTACGTTCGAGAGAGTAGCACCGAGACTGTTCGCGAGTTCACCGATGGGTGACGCTGTGTCAATGACACGTCAGAGCGACAATAGGGAGATTTTTGAATATCCGCAGGCTGCAGGTAGCGGGCTCGTCGTCAGTGAGAAACGGGCGGACCGATCGTTCGTGGAACGGCTGACAGTTGGTGCTGGCGGTAATTAGAGATAGTCGACGCGAGGTGTTTGATCCGATGACAGGTGAATTGCACGGGAAACGGAGCCAGGAACTATGCGATAGGCAACGACGATACGCGCTCGTCACGCTGTTCAGTAGTTTAATAACTATATCCATCGCCGAAGTGTTCGTGCAATGAACGCGATTGATAGATCCGTGTAACGTGTGACCACAGAGCCGGGACTGGAGTACGAGTCTGTGCACGTTTACCAGTGTATGTTGTGTTTTCGCTTAGGAATATACTGTGATACCGAAGGATAATAAACATCCGCAATACATTGTTTTTGTATTTTGGGACTAAAGACGCTCCGCCCTTGCGGCGTTGATGACGTTTACGTCGAATGAGTAAAGATACATTCTACCTTACCTACTTAGTCTCGGGGTGATGCAAGTGTAACGCGATACCACCAGTGACCAACAAGATCGATCAACGATAAAAAAGGACGTCTAATAGGCGCAAGGAAGGAGAAGAATAACCAGGCTTGTCCGACAAAAGGAGCCAGCAGGTGACCACGTTGGATCTCGCGGCGTTGGCTGCTTACGGGGGCGTTTCGGGACCCAGGGTCGCGGTGGCGGGCACCGGGGTCCTTGCGCTACCCGGCCTGATACCCGATAAGGGTTTATCATCGCCCGGAGGACAGTCGAAAACAAAGTCAGCAGGGCTGGCGGGCCTCGACAGCGAGGCGGTGCGCCGGTGGGTCGCCGAAGCCGCGCGGACCGTCCGGCAAATTCCGCCTCCGGTTGTCGTACCATCTAGTTCGCAACAGCAACAACAACATCAACATCAACACCAACAGCAGCAGCAGCATCAAACGATTCAACACCAACAGCAGCAGCATCAAACGGTTCAACACCAGCAGCACAGACATCAACATCATCATTCCAGTCATCGGCAGCGTCAGGAGCCGAGCCCGCCCTCGGTGGTCGTTTCACCTTTCGTTCTGCCATCGTCGATGACGCAGACCCCCAGCATGCATCTGCTGGAGAACAACAACTTGGTGGAGGTTGCAATGGTTCAACAGCAGCAGCAGCAGCAGCAGCAGCAGCAGCAGCAACAGCAGCAGTCTCAGCAGCAGATGCAGATGCAGCAGCAGAAACAGAAACAAACCAGCCCAACGAACAACAACACCATCGAGGCTTGGAGATCGATTCAAGGTGGACACCAGTGGTGGAGTCCGCCGAGTACCGTTCATCAGGAGCAACAGCAACAGCAACAGCAGCAGATATCGCCACTCGGGCAGCAGGTTGGTCAACCGCAGAGTTTGGTCACTGGCACGGTATGCGGACAAGTACAGAGACAGTCGCAAATTCAATCGGAGATCGATCAACCGTTGGACTTTTCGGTCGGTTCCCTTCAACAACAGAGGCTGCACTCTCACGTACGGACTATACACGAGAGACTGCAGAGTAGAATGCACGACAATAACAACGGTACGGCCGGTAACGGGCAGAAGATCGTCAGAGGAACCGGCAGCAGGAGAAGTTACAGTCCTAGTGATGGTAGCAGCAGCAGCAGCGAAGATGAGGGGGTTTCCACTGGCGGAAGTCCTTCCGGTCCCCTTCGAGGCACCGAAAACGGTGAGTCTATGACACGTACGTGCAAATTCTCTTTCTGCTTATGTCGAGCGCTGTATCGCTTCGTTTTCACCGAAACGTGATGTTACGTGGACGAAGGAACGCGTGTAACGATAAGTGGGAGTGACGCAACGGATTATAATGTCGCGCGTGAATCAAGATCGGGCAATAAATTCGGCGATTCTGATTTTTCATCCGCTTGCGCAACCGGTTACTCATTTGAATCTTGGAATTCTGTATTCGTCGGTTCTCGGAGTATGATCTACATTTGATTGTTTCCTCTCCAGGTGATTTCATTGTTTGACAAGCTAGATAACAGATCGAGCTCAATCCCGAATCGTTCTAAATTACTAGAAGTTATAAATAACGATTATTTTCTAACGAGGAAAAGTTGGAATTTTTAGTCCCTGACTAGTTCTGTAGAGTAACCTTGGACTGTCGTGTAAATGTTATAAATGTTATATGAAATAAAACGCGACGCTAAATGTCTCAATAATCTTCGATTAAATCGAGTATTAAAATTATAAGTTACAATATTAGATTCGAATTTTTATCGAGATACATTAGTACACTGCAGTTAACAGCATTAGAATCACCAGGCATCGACTTTTTATGCTATTTAATTAAAAGCATACACGTGCTGTGGATAAAATTAATATTATCTTTCACTGATATAGGAACATGATTATTTTTATCAAATCACTTTTAAATATAATGATAAATATGCGACATATTCGAGTACACGCGAGACATTGCCAACTTCACCATTGAACTTCGAATCGAATACATGCTACAAATGAAATATTTGAACGTACGCGACAAATTAATCTTGCTCCGGCGTTAAATATCGAACGCGCTCTTCATCGTGCTCCATATGAAAATGTTCGGATCAAGCGGGTTCCTCCTGTCTCTGTCGATTTCCCAAAGAGTTGGTTCAGCGACGAAACCGGAGATTTCCGAGACAAACGAACGTATGCGTCATGCCAGCCGCTATTTGTCCCGCGAACGAAACATGAAACGATCACGGTGAATTTTGGGGGAAAACGTGGGCGAACGTTTCGATCCGTCAGCTGTCAACGGAGCCTCCCCCTGCTTGCATTCGACGCCGCCACCCCCGCAACAACCTTGGCACCGGCCTTTGTTGCCCTCGCCCCCCGTCGAATGGTCGGACGCATTGTGCGATGCTCGTTCCATTGTAGGAACGAGCGGGCGCGTGGATCGCGAGAATCGGTGTTTACCTGAAAAAAAAAAAAAAAAAAAAATAACCCGGCGTCTTCGTTGCGTTTCTTCATACGCAAAACGAACGGCAGGTTCGTCAATTGTGGCGACACGGTTTGACGATGGGAAGGTGAATTCCCTTTTACAAGATGTTCCTTTCGTTGTGCGCTGGTCGTATGCACGGCGCGCATGCAATCTGCCGACGATTTCCCTTCGCGATAAGGCAATTCACCACGGATAAATTCGTGTAGAGTTTCAGTCGAAGCAACGTACGCGCGCACGTAATTGAAATTCGCGCGGCTCACCGTTCCACTCCTGTAGTTTTTGACGTTGGCATCACGCGAGTCGAGAGTGTATTTTCCATCGAAAAGTATGTACATATATATACGTGACGTATCATTATCGCTGTAGTAACCAGGAATGATATTCATCGCGATTTAGAGGAAAGGAAATAGTGGTCATTGAGGGCCATTCATTTGTAATCGCGTTTATCGAAAAAAAAAAAAAAAAAAAAAACGGGTTCTCACCGTATCTGCGACTGAGCTGATTAAATTGTGTCAATAATTTGCGCCTTATTAGCCGTGTGACTCACGATACGAAAGTGGATCTCGAGCGGTGACTTCTCGAGTCATGGCTAAGCATTGTGATTTCGTGCTCGGGCGAATTCGCACGATGACACGACAAGAGCCACGAAAATATTTTCGGCACTCGTGTCAAGGTACTCGATGATTTTAACGCATTTAATCCTCGACCACGCGACACGCGTCGCGAATCATCCAAACACAGTTTTAATTCAGCCTCAATGACACGTGTATCGAGGTAGCGGACACGTGGACAGCGACGAACCAATCAACAGATAAAACTAGCATGAAAAAAACTTGTCACCTCGATTTCGATGCGCATTCGCTGATAAAGTGTAAGCGAGATCGCCAGAGTTCGAGAACGAGACAGAGGGTAAGATTGAAAAAATGCTCGTGTATCGTCCGCTTGATCTACCGCCGATAAACCCGCTGATTATTCCATAAAAACTAAATATTATTGTACTTACACGCGGCTATACGTCGAGTTATCTTTCGTGTTTATTATCGTGGCGTAATGCGTCGGCGTCGCGAGCCCCGCGATACCGCGAAAACAAGAATGATCGTAATTAAAATGATACAAGCCGAGGCGAGCATTATCTGATTCTAAACAGCCGGATCTTTATTAGTTTCAATAAAATGCAATGTAAACAGCGCTATGGAATAGACTGATAAAACTCGCGCGTTCGTGACACGTTGTTGGAAACGAGGAAATAGAAGAAAAATAGAAGGGAAAGGGGGAAACAATCGTCTTCGTATTATGCAAAAATCAGCAACTCGTATTAATTTAAATTAAAATTTAGGACGAGTACGATATCACTGTTGTGAGTTACTGAGAATTTTGTCAATATAACTCTTGGTCGTTGAAATAGAACTACCTAGAGACACAAATTATTAAGATACATGTATGCGTATAGTGTTTGATACTTACGTAGTATTTATGTGTGTATGTGCTTTAACAGATAATGACACGTAGTATTTATGTGTGTATGTGCTTTAACAGATAATGACACGTATTAATAAATCTTTCAATTTGATCAATAATTTGTAAGATGAAAATTTCTAGGTTCGAAGTTCTAATTCAACGATTATATAAATAAAAAAATTGTATTTTCCACGATCAATTCTATAAGTGTAGATATTTTTTCTTTGCTTTTCTATATGATTTATCCCCCACAAATAATCTATCGTTGATAAATCTTCAAGCATTTCAGTTTACACTCTTTGACCTCATAAACGCGGAAAGCAGTATGATTAAAATTGCAACTTCATCTCATAATAGGAAGATATAAGTTACCATAAATATAAGTCACTAATTGTTCGTTAAACTATCTGTTAAATTTTATTAACTCTCGAAATATTATCGGAAATTGATAAATAACTAATCCTAATTCAATGGCCAAAGGTCGTACAGTTGAGTAATCAGTATTCCGGTAATCTCTAGAGTGATCTAGAAGAAAAATGAATAAAAAGACGAACAGTAATCTCTGATTTCGTATTATCGATAACGACGAGCGAGTATATTATGGTTTTATATTATCCGCGGGTAATTATCGTTTCGTTTGTGCGCGAGCGTGTTTCGATATCTCGGCGGATTCGTCGAAGCGATCGGTATGTGCGTGTCTACATAATTGCACTAATATTCAAAAATGCAACGGCAAACAAACGGCGTAGTCGATGCGCCGGTGAGAAAAAGTTGGCCGATATCGTATCTGTCGATAAGGTCTCTAAGGCTTGTTTGAATAAATATTCCACGTAAACGCGTGATCGTGCGGTTATTTTCGATGAGCAACGCGATACGACGAAAAATCCATTTTTGAAGTGAAATCGTAAAGTGCCTCAGATAATGCCCACCTTATATAACGTTAATATAGCGTTAGTTCGTTTCACAGAAGTTATCGAGCACCAAAGATCGACCGATTTCGTCGTTATTATTCACCAAACGTCGTTCTTAGGAGACGAACGTTCTCGCTCTATGATTTCAATTTATTCCTACGTTTCTTTCTGTTCTATTTATTTTAAAAAATGAATGAATGGAGGAAATCTATTTTATACGTGTCAGATAATATAGAAAAAAATATATCTCGATCACAACGATGATCGACGAACAGGTAGAAGGAAATTTTAGAGATCTAAATTAGTCGATACATTTTTGGAGATATTAATGATTCTTCGTAAAATATATAAATAAAAGATTGTGTAACTTATTTCTCCTATTTCTTCTATCTTGATATTTCTAATAGAAATATGTTATGCTTCGGTGCAATTCGATTATATTTCAAATTTTTATAACGAAACGAATATTTCTCTACCGTTTACTATTACTCTGAAATCGCGACACCTATACACTCAGAGTCACTTGGAATCAATTTTCATCCCAATTAATACGTGCAGAGAGCTTACGGGCACAGGCACATATAGGCCAAACACATATAGAAAACACGTGAGCGATTATAACAATATGATAATCTTTCTCTTCCCTCGTACAATTTCGTCAATTTGCACGCGAGCTGCAGAACCAATGGAAACCGCAGCTGTTGGTCGCGTTACGCTGTATCTGAAAAGCATAATTACTCGGTATACCGTGCCTCCTTCTTTTCGTCGTGTTAATTTATGTCCGATAAGGGAGAATATAATTAATCCTGGCAAGGAACACGCGCAGGAACCGAGTGCCTACGTTGTATCGAAGTTAGCCGATTGCGGTTCCCCAGGATCCAGGGACCTGTTTCTCTCCCGAGAGAGGCTCTCGTGTATTACCGGCGTGTAACGTGATACGTGTTTGATTCTATGTTATTTACGAGCAGGTGTGCCGCGGAACAATGTTTATCACATAATTAGATTCTATGCTCGAGCAATCTCTATCGCGTCGGCGCAGTGAGCCAGCCTGAACCTGAAAATGACGTTTCACACTGGATGGCCCAGCGCAACCTTGATAATAATAATTTTCTTCAATACGCTCTCCATATTGATTTCATACCGGCAATGTCCCGTACGTGCTTGCGTTCCTCTTTTGTTTCTTGCCTAGGTCTCTTCCTCGTTTCCCTTCGTTTCCATCTATCTTCACCTTTGCGTTTTCCTATCCTTCGCGTTGTTCAGTCGGTTATTCGTCGTTCCAAGCGACATATCTCTCTCTCCCCTTTAACGAGCCGTTCCAGTACTCTTCGTTTTTCTCGTCTCGCCAAACCGAAATCATCGACCAACGTAATTCTTTCCTTTTTCCGCGGATTTTTCCTTTCTTTCTCCTTTGTTCTGCTTTCTTTCCCCTTTACTCTCTTTCTCTTTTTTCTGTCGTTTAACGCGCTCTGCAGAACTGCAAATGAGATAATGATCGGCGATCGATCGGCAGTCTTGCGATTATATACTGCTAATTATATACCGCGCCGGTCCGGCCACGTGTAATTAATTATGATAATATTCGATGGCAAGTCAAATGCACGAAGTTATTATACGCCGTTTAACAGTTTAATTCCCGACCACCGGATGCTTATCGTCGACGAATCGTTGCTAC